CCCCACCTGGCGAAGGTGCGAATGGGTGCGCAAATGAAGCGGCCCCCCCGTCGCGCACCTGTGGGAGTGGGTGTGTTTGTTCTGACCCCGTTTTCCTGGGCTCACCCCGCGAATTGCGGGCCGTTTTCCCTCGGCCCCCCCCCGCCCTCCCCCGCGGACGTGTGCTCTTCCGATCTCCCCCCCCCACCTGGCGAAGGTGCGAATGGGTGCGCAAATGAAGCGGCCCCCCCGTCGCGCACCTGTGGGAGTGGGTGTGTTTGTTCTGACCCCGTTTTCCTGGGCTCACCCCGCGAATTGCGGGCCGTTTTCCCTCGGCCCCCCCCCGCCCTCCCCCGCGGACGGTGGACGGACGCCTCCGGGCCCGCCCGCCCCTTGTGGGATGGGCGCGAAGCACCATGCGCCGGGCGTGAGTCCTGGCCGGCTAGAGGGCCACTCATCGGCCGGGCCCGGCGGCGGAGATATTTTCCTCGAGACCGGGCCCCAGTGTTAACCATGACCTGCTGCTGGCCATGCGGGCCCCGGGCGCAGCCGGGGAGCCTCGCCGTCTTGCGTCCACGGTCGAGGCCCAGGCCGCGAGGGGCTGGCGGCCGGGCTGCAGCCCTCCGGCCCCGGCACCCGGACCAGCGAGGGAGGGGGTTTGCCGTTGGTCTGCTCGCATCGGGTCGAGTGCAGTTCCGGCGCCCCCGGTGCCGAAGCCCGCGAGGGCGCGCTCTCGGGGGGTGCCGGCGCCGGCGCCTGGCCGGGCATCGTCTCGGCCCCGGGCCGACGACCGTGCCGCCCGTGCCCTGGCGCCGGGCAATACCTCGAGGCCATCGGGGCAGCCGAGCTCCACGGACCCGGGGGCCGGGGTAGAGGGGGACACGGACATGGCATCGAGCGTCGCCAGGGCACGCGCGATGGCCTCGAGCGCGCCTCCCATGAAGCGCCAAGGATTCGCCCGAACGGCGCCACCTCTCCTGGCCCGCGGGCTGTGTCTTGCCTTCCCCCCGACCGGCCGGGGCGCTTGGCCTATGGCGGCTCCTTCGCTCGCTCTCTGCTGCGCTCTCACGCGGAATGTCTCGGCTCCTCCTCCCCGACCCCCCTGCCGCCTCCCTTGGCCGCCCTCCTGCTACCCGAGGGGGTGCATTTGGGTGTTGTCCCGGCGCGGTCGCCAGCCTGCGCGGCACTTGCTCTTCTGCTTGGGGACGATTAAGTCTCGGGACGATGGCGGGGGATTTTGCCCAGCCAGGCTCCGGGCCCCGGAGGCGAGCTTCGCCGGGGCCACTCGCGCGGCTCATTCCGGCCAGCTTGCCTTCGACCCCTTTGGCGTGCGAGACAAAGGCCGGGGGCGGAGAAGGAGAAGCCCTGGGCGTAGGCCAGCCTAAACCGTCGGGCGCACCTGCGCAATGCCTTGTCTCCCGCGGGGGGGG